ATTTGTCCAGAGAAAAGAAAATTTTGCTTTGTTAATTGGTTGGTGCCCGCCACGATCTCATAAACTCTTAAATGTGCCCGTAGGCACAAAAAGGTTGCGGACCACTGCTCGAAGTGTATCACTTGGTGCACAGTAAGGCAGAATTTTAATTGAAGCGCCATGGAATGCATGCAACAAATACTGAATCATGCTCCTGATCTTGGGAACCTGTGATAGCCAAGCTGGAACTGCATTGCAGGGAAGGAATATTTTGAGTGTTATCCTGCATTACATCATCCTTGTACTAACATGTAGACGGTTAGAAGACCGTCTCTGGGAAAGAGGAATTTATCAGTGCGAGTCATGCTTGGATGTTAGCCGCTGAATTTGCCATAATTACTGCTGTGAAACAAGAATCTTCAAGAAGCTTATATGCTATTGCAAGAATATGGGACTGCCTTAAATATTGGTTTGTATTTTACTTCATGATGATTGAAAAAAGATTAAATCCGTGGCGTAACAGCTCCAGAGATGATGAATTACATTAATGCTATTCACAGAATGAACATTAGCTTCCAGAAGATCAGATGCAGTCCTACAAATAGATGTATCAGTAACACACTACCAGTGTGCGCTTGAACCATTGAAGCATGCTTTACATGTGAAGTAGTCTTCAGCGTCTGCGGTAGTCACCTTTGGTCATGGACTAATCCTTGCGCTAACTCTGCATGTGGTTATTAACTCTGCTTTAGTATATACAGTATGTGTTATGGGGGATATTTATTGTGAGCCCTCACCGACTACCATGCTGGCTGGATTCTAGTGTTCAAAACAAATTACTTTTCTGTGAACCAAACATATTCCTTCTTTATCATTTAGCTCGTTAAGATACCATTGATAAGGCGTGTAATTTCTGTTCTGTACTTCTGTGTCAGCACAAGTGATAACTGTTTCAGAATACGCTGACGTCGTAAAGAGTAAACTCAAAATTGTTGCATTATTAATATACATGTATTAGTTTCACAGTACAAAGAAGAATTGAAATGTCAGGATTTTATTGTCCGAGTAACACTGAAAGGTAAAGAAGAAAATGATTGTAGTACTGAAAATAATCCATTGATTCTGTAGTTTATTCAGACACGGAGTTTTACTGTGTGATAATCATAGAAATTGATGTTTGTTTGACGGAGGCTCGCAGTGGCCGCGCGGTCTGAGGCGTGGGCCTTGTGCCGCTTGGTCACTGGGACCGTGGGTTTGAATCCCACTCAAGCCATGGATGTTTGTCCGCGTTATCCCGTGTTGTGCTGTCCTGTGTACAGGTAGAGGCCTTGCGACGGGCCGATCCCTCGTCTATAGATCAAGCCAACGAAAAGTTGGGACCCGCAGTGCTCAGACACTGAAGAACGGGTCGTCCACAGTATCCCCATTATCCCAGTGTTAGTTTGACAGTCTGTCTACACAGCACTTATTGAATATAGTTTACTTAAGAACTCACTACATTACCTGTTTTAGTAGAGTCGAACATGTAGGTGTAGCTCAACTGAACAGTGTTCAGTGTACTCTATAAAACAGGTAAGCTGCTTAAGACAGTTTATTACATGGGTAAGTCAGCAACAGGATATGACGGACTGTCAACCAAACGTTCCAGAAACAACAGGATGTTTCCCTTAAAACTTGATCCCTATTTCAGCATAGATCATATGGTTTAAAATGTAATTTAAATTGGTACCCATATATTTTCTTCATGATTCCAAAGTATTTAATGTGTTCAAGAAATGTCTGATATTTTATCAAAAATCAGGTGGTCTCAAAATGTAATTTTCTCGCTTATAGAATTATGCCATTCATACAAAATACCTTTCACTTGCAAGATTTTATCTAATTTGCAAAACTAACATAAAAACTTTCATAACATATTTAAAGTTTTTAACCTCATCCTCTTTGCTTCGTAGTTGGTGCTGTTGGGTAGTCAAAGTGGATGTAGAGACCTTGATCCAAAGGAACATCTTGAAAGAGGTCCGTCAGTCAGAATCGCAGAAACCTGGCAGAAAATGCATAATGGAAAATGGGTGGTTGGGATCTCCATATGTAATAATGGAAAAAGGTAAGTTAATGGTTGTACCATATTTATCCAAATACCACATGCCCCCAAAAAGATGGGCACTCCAGTTTAGGAAAACTATTTATCCAAATACCACATGCCCCCAATAAGATGGGCACCCCAGTTTAGGAAAAGGTTATTTGAATAAAATATTGAAGACCAAATAATATGTTGACTTCTGTAGCCTTTTTTCTCGCAACAGAAGCATATTATGAGATAATGCATAAATTTTCCTGAAGGTTACTGAACGACATCTTAGTAAATTCAGTGATCAGTTTCTGAGAAAATGCAAGAGAAGAAAATTGAGCATTTATCATTTAGAATTCAGTTTATTGTGAGACAATAATCCTCTAATAAAAGCAGAGAAATGGTGCCAAATGCGAAGAAGAATAAACCACAGTGAACGTGTTCTTTATACTCAGAGTGTGGAAGAAAGAGGACATTTTTTGTTGGAGACAGAATTGTAACGATGATGTCTGTTTATACTGCTTTGAGGGCTAGCTATCACATCCTTGTATTGTGCTTGACTAGAAAATTTGATTTAAATTGTGTGACATCCGATCATTTGAGTCTGTGCATGCATTTTTTGTGAATATTTAATTTTATTTAATTCTGCGGCACCGATGGGTTAAATATTTGTTTTGTTAAAAGTATTTATGAAAGAGTAGGAGTGTGGGAGGGTGGATGATACGAAAGAATTTGCTTTTATTTTTCTCATTAAATACAAATATTTTAATGTCTGAAACAATTTGTGTATACCTATTTACAATTTTCAACATTTCATTAACTACTGTAAGTGATATACACTTACTGCTCAAATATTCAGTAACCCGTTTGCTTAGTGTTCTGTTGACTGTGTCTACTTATCGTGGTGGTAGCACCAATAAATCCTAACTAGTGCTGTCAATATTCAAATAAGGAGGTATATACTATAATATTTGAACCCCACAATTCATCAGCGTGCAAGTTAGTGGCAAGAGTTTGCTTTTAGATATTTGAGACGCTAAGAACAGTTAAATTACCTGGAACATGAATTGAATAAAAATTTACTTGGATATTATCCATCGTCTAGTAAATATAAAACGTAAAACGACGTTTCGGAGATGGGACTCTATCTCCGTCTTCAGGTTCCTACAAAGTTAAAACGACGTTTCGGAGATGTGACTCTATCTCCGTCTTCAGGTTCCTACTCAGTTGGGCCCACTAGATAGAGCTAATCCCTATCTCCGGACCTCTTGGATATTATCCATCGTCTAGTAAATATAAAACGTAAAAACGACGTTTCGGAGATGGGACTCTATCTCCGTCTTCAGGTTCCTACACAGTTGGGCCCACTAGATAGAGCTAATCCCTATCTCCGGACTCTTCACCATCGTCGAGAAGTTTTAGATTTGGAACATGAATTATTGTTGTGAATACTTAAAAAGGGAAATTTTACTGTCGCCGAATCCGTCATGCTTGGTGTCGCAATATCAGTGGATTTCTTTTGTATGTATGAAACATTTAATACTTCTAATATGTGATATTCAGTATTCAGCTCTCGTACGTATACGGACGTTTGGTTCTAAGAGAACTAAACTAAAAACTGTATGAAGTAGAGAATATTGCATTTTTGAATATTTGTGACAGCATTAGTCCTAATTACTGGCAATTAAATTTTTCCATCTTTTCTGTATAATGAAATGAAATGAAAATCTGAAACTCCTGCCTAGCATACAGTGAGATTTATAGTCGTTTCAAATTCCATAGACCACCGTGATCTAAATCATTGAATTGACGTTGCCAGATTCTAGCACCAATTAAAAAGCTAGGAATGTGTCACATTTTGTCATGTAGCTGGACTGCCTGCGCTGTTAGATTCAGTCATCCCGAGTTGTAGGTAACCATCCAGGGTGTAACCAAACAGCTCGAAATCATACCTGTATAACACAGATAAGACCCACTGTTAATTTATTGGGAAGGATCGTCACAATGTGGATTTTATTGTAACACATTCGCTGCCAAAATTAGAAGCTGTCAGTCAAGCGTGCGTATACTCTCAGAGTCGGGGAATGTATACCATCTCTCAGATCATTCTTGAAAATATTTTAAGATGGCTGTATTCTGGGTTGTAACGCTGTGCCAAGGTTAAAAATATGGAGAACCTAACCTCTATCCTCACATGTAATGACATGGTGCTTAGACACAGGGATAACCCACTTGAAACCACTGTGTGTGCCACAGTTGACACTCTGAGAAAATTGTTGGACAAAATTTTGTTTCAAAGAAACTAATAACTAAATATGATTTGTAGCTTTCGCAAAATTCAATAAAATCTTCTCAGTCGATCAGCCGCGTCAAATTTTAACCAGTTGACGTGGCTGATTGCCCGAGAAGATTTTATTAATAACTAAATTTCTAATGAAATGTTATTTTCTATGTGGATATGTTGAGTTGAGAATGGGATTTGTGTTCTTGCGTGCAGAATTGTGTAAATTTGCCTTGCGACAGCCACATATCTGCATTACAAGCTGAAGTTGAACAGTGTTTCAGAGGTTCATCATCAGGACGATGAGTGAATCACCCTGATGATGGTGGCAGTGTGCACTTCTCAAATGTTGGTCAACTTCTACAAGATTGCATATTTAAATATCCCAGAAGACTGTCATATTCAAAATAAAACTGTTTTTGAGAAAAAAAGCAATATTTTACACAGTTACCCGTAGACATTGTGCACTAGCCTTCTACTGTAATGTTCTTTACTGACTTGTGTGCTCATTTAAATGAATTAAATGTTAAACTGCAAGGTTTATGGAATGCAGATGACATTTTATTAATTATCATCATGGAATTTAAAAAAGAAACCTCTAAATTTTCAGTGTGACTTGAATGGTTATACACTAAAATATTTTTCTTAACTGAATAGGCATCTGAATGATCTGGATATAATTGAGAACCCGTAGATGAAAGATTTGAAAATTTTCTTGGATATAATTACTGTAGCAGAATAAAACTTTTCCTCGATATTTTCAGATTTAGACGTCTTGAGGGAACAGTGAAGTGTTTTCACTGTCCTAACATTGTACTTTATTATGCTACCTTTGTAGATTCAAAATACCCGTGGCGTTCCACTAACATTTTGGAAGTGACCCGTCACGTCAGTTTTAACGTCGAAATGGAACTAAGTTTCCAGCTGGCTCATTATAGTGTGGAAAGCTTTTTGAACTGAAAAAGCTTATTGAAGAATTGGAATGTAAATATTTAGAAGAATTTTCATCCAAAACAGATATTACATTTGAAGATGAATTGACAAAAGCCTTGAACATTTTGCCAGAAACATTTCATACTCTCAAACAGTCTGCAGTGGTGGTAAGAAAAATTCATTTTCATACGCTCATGAAAGTTTTTTTTATTTTTATGCGATGAATTATATGAAAATTTATTTTATAAATAGATTTATTATTGAAGCTTTTGTGTATAACAACATTTGCTACTATGAATCATCAGAAAACTTCCCACTAGCTTGGTAACTAAAAATTGAAAGTAAAATACACTACGGTATTATTATTATTATTATTATTATGTAGTGTTCTGTCTGACGACAGGTCCATATGAACAGGATCCTTCGATCCTTTTCTCGGACTGGGACCTGTTCATATACGTTCTTGGCAGATGATCCAGAAGTGGTTTGCCATTGCCTTCTTCTGTGTGTGAATGGAGTAATTGTTGGGATGCCACGGAGGAAAACTCCGTGTTGCCTAGACCACGGCCTTGCCCAACACAAGTTATAAATTCGGGCACCGCCGGGAATCGAACTTATTAATAGTTGTGGGCACACAACACTAATGCATAATTATTTCCTCAAGTTTTGGCACATACATTTAAGAGGTCTGACATCCCTTTCCTATGCTTCACCAAGAATTTAATTAACTTTCCTGTAATGAGTTGAATGCATTTCACGTACCTATAAATATGGTAAAGTTGTAGTATTTGTGCTCTAGTAAGCTGGGAGTAGTAGCTGGTAACGAGTTCGGTAGTGGTGCAGCCCTTAGCCGGATTTTTCCACTCAGGCCGGATGATGTCCTGTAAGCCAGCTTGATGAATCAGATAGTTCTGATCTTCCTGTGTTCAGAAATAGAGTTAATGTGTTAGTATATGACTTGAGGCTTTCGCAGTGACTAGATGCAGTAAAATCCTCTCGGGTGTCAAGCCGTGTCAAAATGGAGCCATAGTCCAATGTTTCTCTGTCTGTGAAACAGACTGTGGCTGGATGCGGCTTGTTGCCCGATTGCATTTACTAAATGTGTTAGTAGTTTCAGATCTGGTTTGTATGATATGACTTATTGAAACTTTTGTTTATTTGTGAAAACATTTTTTGAGCGTAATCACTTTGCCCGTCTGCTCTTCAGTATATGTTGACTTGCACATCTGAGCAACATGTCTTCATGCATAATTTCCATTACTGTAGATGCATACAGAACTTAAAAATCTGTACTCCTCCCCCAATATTGTCAGGGTGATTAAGTCGAGAAGAATGAGATGGGTGGGGCATGTAGCGCGCATGGATGGGACAAGAGGTGTGCACCGGGTATTGGTTGGGAAGCCTGAGGGGAAGAGACCGCTGGGGATGGGAGGATAATCTCAGGCGGGATCTATGGGAGATAGGAGTTGACGGAGACTGGATTTTGTTGGCCCAGGACAGGGTCCGGTGGAGGGCTTTGGTTAGTTCGGTGATGAACCTTCGGGTTCGGTAAGCCATCTGGTTGGTTGGGGCCACGGGTTGGGAAGCCTGAGGGGAAGAGACCACTGGGGAGACCTAGACGTAGATGGGAGGATAATCTCAGGCGGGATCTATGGGAGATAGGAGTTGACGGAGACTGGATTTTGTTGGCCCAGGACAGGGTCCGGGGGAGGGCTTTGGTTAATTTGGTGATGAACCTTCTGGTTCGGTAAGCCATCTAGTTAGTTATAGATGCATGCAGAATTAGTGGGAAATCCTCTTGGAAGGCCGAGAAGGAGAATGAAAAGAGACATTTAGTATGGATCTTTGGGAACGTGACTCTGAGGATCAAAGTTAGATGATGGGCGTTGGTATTGGTGGTGTTGAATGACTGGATTCTGCTCCCAGACTATTTTATAATTACTGACACTGACGTTTGCTTCTTAGGAGATTTTCTGTGCGGAAATGTGTCTGTTGTCCAGGGTAAGCTTCTCAGCTTCATTACAGTTTTTATAAGAGGGCATCAAAAGTTGGCATTTACAAATTGAAAAAGTACAGGCACTAACATCGCAGATGCAGCAAAATTATGATACGCACACATTTCCTTACTTGTTAGTACCATCTAATATGTCAACATAAGAAATTTACCAGTTTTTTATGCTTGGGAACATTTTATGAGACAAACAGCTCAACTTTTATGTGTGGACTTTTGTTTTGTTTGTACAAATATCATAAAATTTTTCAATTTATCATACGTACGTATTCCAGCAGTGTGATAACATAATTTGTACAATCTTTTTACCAGACGTATAATTGCGGGATAAGGGAATGAAGATATTTACCTGTAGAGTTTCAAACTTCATTATGATATCAAAATCTACTTGGCATGGAGTGCAAAAGTGGGTGATTGGAGCCCAGTGCATGTCAAATGGATCTCCTTTCTGTTGGACATTCACCAGATACTGCACAAATTCTGAGAATGTTGGCCAGCGAGGCTTTTTAGGTGTAGACTTGTTTCGTGATCCTTTGACCTAAAACGTAAGAAGCAATTATATTAAACCAAATACAGCTTCAAAATTAGCATAGCCTTTTTCCAAATTTAAAACAATACCGAATTGCGATATGAATCAGGTTTTAAGAATTTTTAATTTCTGAGGCAGTTTATTGAACTTTTTATAATATCGATTTTGTTCCTACATATTTGACTTCTCATAACTTCAAGAACTTGTAAATTTTTATCCAGAAAGTACAGAATTATTAAATAAAATATAAAATTTGATTTAGATTTTAATACACTGTGGAGAATGTTGTATTAGAATTTCATACGTAGAAATGAATAGCAAACACCAATAAGGACATTTTTAAGGAAAACCCAAGTTACAAATATAGTCATCACATAAATAACAAGCCTTCATAACTTGAGCGGTAATTAATAATATGGAAGGGGGGTTAGTATAAATGGGGCATTCATTATCCAAATAACAGTTTCAAGATTAATTTTTTGTTCCCCCCCTCCCCCCAAGTCTTTTGAGAATAGGGTAGGTTGCCTTTCGGGTTTAAACGTTAAAAGAATGGAAATGCGTCCATATGTACTTTTGCGTTTGGTGTATGTGTTATCCTTATGAAAGAAAACTGCGTAATTAATAATATCATGTGGTTCTTACAGTCTGCTTTAAACTCTGAGGGATTGAAATGGGGAGTCATAACAAAATATTTGGTAGCATTGGTCAGGTACTCAGTAATTATTTGTGTCTCCTTTTCAGAAATAACATTATCGTAGGTCCTTCTTGGTTGACGGACTCTGTTTTGCGTAGTTGCATGAATTGAACCTGCCTTGAATTTATAGAATGTTGTAGATGAAAATTGAAATTGACGAGATGTCAGTGTGAAAATGCTTAAAGAATTTATACTTTGCTACAAGCATAAATGGATAAAATTCTTTCTAAGATATCTACAAGCATAAATGGATAAAATTCTTTGGAAGATACGGCATCTACAGTTACATATTACCAGATGCTCAGACTCGTGTTGAAGGAGGATTTTAATTTTTGTAATTTTGGTGTAATGTAACTATAGGACACAGATGCTTAAATAATTTTTATGGATATTAAGTTGGTCCTTAGTCCTCAGGTTGTGGATGGTGGATACATCATCAGATGTTGAGAGCTGGTGGAAATATATTAAATAAGCTGTCATAAATGTTCTTCCAGGTTGTGGATTGGGTGTGGGGATGATGGCCTTGGAGTGAACAGAGTAACAGTCTTTGAAAAACATGAAAATTAATAGGAAGATGGGTGTCTTCCGGGTTGTAGCACCATTAAGTCTAGTAGAAGTTTACTGTTTCATCGCTCTGTTGATGTAGGCAGCGGGGACCTCTGAAACGTCGGTAAACTTGTACCAGACTACACAGAGCTACAACGCAGAAGACGGCCATCAACTTAAACACCGCCATGAGAACCTCAGATCCTACTTAAAAGTAAAGTTTGTCCCACTATACGCCATGTAGGCGCTTGGGGTGAGAGGAGGTATAGCTCCTCCCTTTCTTGACCTCGGCACTAGATGGGGGTGAGTGGTCAGCATCACGTCCCGGGAAAGGACCCCGGTACCCATTGTAGAGGAGGCTGGGTGGGCCCCAGAGCCGGTCTGGACGCAGAGGCTAGAGGAAAAATCCTCTGCCCCCGTCGGGGATCGAACCCCGGTCATCCAGCCCGTAGCTAGTCACTATACTGACTGAGCTATCCCGGCTCATTCAGATCCTACTTCAAGAGTGCACAGGATAGAAGTCCTTGAAAGAACCTAGGTGATACTTGAAGGACATGAGAATTAGTGTTACTTGGATTGTTTTTATTAAGATGTATTGTAGTAAAATGGTTTTTGAAAGTGAGAGGTAGACCCAAGTAACTCAGGAATAAGTCCAGTTATGAGATTTGGTGTTAGCGGTGTTCAACCTTTGGATTTTGCTACCACAGTATTAGGTCAGTTGCTGTTTTTGTATATGCCTTACTCAGAAGGTGACATAACTAAAAAAGTCAGTTCATAAAATAGAGGGTTGAGAATTGTATATATTTTACCTTCTGCTTGTTTTTACGATATTTAAGTATGATTTCATTGCCAAGCTTTTGATGCAAGGTGTGAGGCAGTGAGAACTGAATCTTGTCTCTGTACGCCGACAGCAGTCGCTCCAGAGGATGTCGTACGATGAGGAAAGCTACAGAATCATTGAGGGCTTGTTGCAGTGCGTGGAGCGAAGGTCTCGGGTAACGACGTCGTGCTAGGTTCAGAGGCACTAATTTGCTGTTTCTTAAAAATTTTGGGTTGTACCCCGCCAAGATGTTGAAGTTGTACATCCATGATGTAGAAGCTGCTTTGAATACATTGCACCATACCAGATGGTGTGGTCGGTTCACTAGAAATTCCCATGGGTTGGGACGGTGCAAAGAATCATTTCCGTAAACATCCAAATCCAACTTTGCGCAGACTTGCTTCAGGTGATGCCGCCTTTGCACCATTCTCGCTTCAACTTCAGACATCCAGTATGACATTGCTTCGTGGCTTAAGCTCCAGGAATTGTTCTGCATCAAGAGAGAAAGTACTTTCATCAGTAATGAACAAAAATATTTAAAGTTTCAGTAGCATTCTTAAACATTGCTATGGTTCATGTTGACAAGTTGTGAATTTCTATTGCATTAATGTTTTTTTATTCTAGGGTACCCAGACTGTGGGGGGCCTTCAGCAGTAGTTCTTGTAATCCATGGGATGTTAAGGCACCAACCTTTTTTAAATTAATGTAAATTGGAAACTATGAATTATTTATGTGTACTAAGTTTTTTTTACAGTGTTCTATGAAGCATTCTCTCAAAACATTAATTTTTATCATCCAGCATTGAGTTTAAAGAGCATTTTGTTGCCAGTAACAAGTAGATTAAGGGTCCGTTTAATGCAGATATAAGGGATTTAAATGCAAGTGTTGAAAGTAACCTTGTCAAACATCCTTGTGATTGAGGTTAGTTTTCACTTGGTGCAGTTGTCAAACTTTTGGTTGCATGTGAGAATAGAGTACTCTGAATTGGCATCATAACACTGAAGTATTTAATTCTACTGCACCCAGCATGTCTGTGTGAGCATATATGCTTTATATAAAATCAAAATACAGAAATTGAATGTGGAACGACCGTGTGATAGTACAGTATTAGACGTTCGGCAGGACAAGAGCTATGACCTTGAGATTTGCAGTTCGAACAGTGGGTGGGGTGTACGCGGAGCTCAGTTACGAGCGAGCTGTGACCGAGTTCACTTCGTGTGTTGAATTCTATTTCAATAACATTGGCCCATTTATAATTAGGCCTATCATTTTCACAGTTTTGATAACTATGAAAGATGGTTCGAAACGAAGTTAATTCCAAACCTTACGCCAAATTCGGTATTAGTCGCTTACTATAATGTACAACTCAATCCGTCTCCAACTTTTTCATCTCGAAAAAGTGCTATTGTCGACTGGCTTTCAGATGGTAGCATTCCTTTCAGTGACCGAATGTGTAAGCCCGAATTGTATTCTCTAATTAAACTGCGTAAGCCACGTTTCAAAACATTCAAAATTGATACTCTACTGGCTGAACATGGCCACTCTGTCCTTCGCCTGCCGCCATATCACCCAGATCTTAATCCGACTGAACTGATATGGGGATTAGTCAAACAATATGTCGCCGGAAAGAATGTCAGTTTCCGCCTAGATCATGCTATGAAACTAGCTGAGGAAAAGTTTAGTATCATCACAAAGGAAGAATGGAGCTCGAGGTGCAACAATTCCTATCAGCGCGAACAGAATTACTTGCAGTTGGAACCTATTATTGACGACGTTTCGGAGCAAATTATAGTTAACTTGCAAAACGACAGTGATACCAGCAGATGTAGCAGTAGTGAGGAAGAGGCGAGGGAGGAAGAAGGTGAAGGGGGAAGTAAGTGGAATAAAAGCTTTGTAAAATGTTCATCAGCCACTGGACGTAATTCATTCTGCGCTCATGTTTTTGTGTTTAGTAGTACGGAGAAACTACGTGCCCCACCACCGCTAGCAGACAGCGTACTTACCCTCCCTCAAGCGCATCTCACAGCTCTCGTCTTACCGAACAAGTAATACCATTGTACGTGAAATTTAGAGCATAGTATCGACAAAGTAGCATTAACCATCTCATAACACGAGTAACCTTTTAATTAATACTGCTGTGTGTATTTTGACAGTGAAAATGAGAAAATTAGTTAATTATTAGTTTGTGAAAACAGTTTGATGAAAATTCAGGTTCTTAAAAACCGTAAAATGCGTGGGAAAGAGGTTAGGTTGGGAACAATGCTTGCTTAGCAGAGCAATGGATGTCGCCTTGCGCTTCGCGCAGGCATTTTTTTCTAAAAGATGGCAACTGCAGTGTTGGCAACAACAATTGAAAAAAGAAACTTTATGAATTCATGTGGCTTCTCCCTGAAAGTTGAATTTATAAATTATATAGTCAAGTGGGCATTTAGGTTCCAATATTCGTTCATTTTATGCACTTTAAAAAAAATTGGTATGCCTGGTTCCTAATAATTAAACCGATCTTGCGTACACAACGCGTAGCTGTAATTGGGAAACAGTACCCCATAAACTGTAACTGGGGATGTGCTTACATTAACGAGGTTGTTGTCTTTCTTGAAATCATTGCTATTGGCGGGAAATTATCCCATCATGCACTTTGATGTTTGGGAGTTGAAAACAAAATGGTTATGATCGCTTTGGCTGAAGGTTTATGTGATTAGGGATAAGCGGATCGTGCCCCTTTTGAGCAAAAACCCTGGAATTTGCCTTGCAAATGAGGAAAAGCACGGAAAACCTTAGGTAGCCGAACGGTGTTGTACAATAATCCTCGCGTCGTTTTAGACGCCTTGTTACGAGTAGCTTCGGCAGACTTGCTGAGTCTTGGGTGACTTCAGACAGCCCGTGCCTTCCAACTTTGTTGTTCCATGCAGCAGCTGCTTGGGGTCGAAGCTCTCAGTTAACGCGCAGACGTGGTCAGCGAAAAATTGAGTCCACACGTCGTCGTGAATTTGCTTGCTGCTAACGTACCAAGGCAATGAGAATACACTTCCGATTGCATCACATGAAGGCTCCAGACGTGACTCCGAACATCGGACTTAATAAATACAGATTGGGCATGCGCAGTCCATCGTATGACGGATGAGTTGCTAGTAAAGCCCACACTATTGACAAGGAGTGGACCAAGCACGTCCGATCTTTGAAATGTCTTTCTTACTACGTGATTCGAGTCAGCCGTGTGTTGAGGGTCACGCCAAGATATACAGTTCTGTTTTGGAATGAACACGGTGCAATCTCTTTTAGACTGTTGATAACATGACCTCCAGTCCCGAAGCCAGTAATCAGGCTTCATACAAATCTCCAAATAACTTACTAGGAGAGCCGACTTAGCTCGAGATGGCGAGGGAATGTTGGTATGACTGAAGAGAACTAGGGAAGCAAGTCTCCCTGAGTTACATCAATCTGATGCTATGCCGCGTAGTCGTGGCGTTTTAAACGTACGGCAGTGAACATAAGGATTCGGTTTTCACCAAGTATTCCTATTAAATATTAAAATATTTTATATATTATATTAAGGAATTTTATTGTGGTTAGACTGACAAGATTTAAACAAATATATATTTATCACAATATGACGCAACTTTATCAGCTTAAGACGGGGAGTTTATGAGAAATTAACCTTTGTTAGCGAAGGAGGAGGTGATTAACGTTGCAGTTTAAACTATCCCGCTCTACAAAAAAACTAAATAAAATGGAACATTTAAAAAAATATTTATTTATTATCTTTGACTATTAAAGTAACCAATGACATATTGTAGTGGGAAAAGAAGATCATCTTCATTTGAAAAATAGCAATGTAAAGAAAAATGTAAATTGCATCGTCTCGCCCCATATCTGGGGCAAAATGGGGCTGTTCTTCAATTACTTATTTTTCATACAAAGGACACAAATATGCACACTTGTTACATTTTCCTCGTCTTCCCCCGCGCAAGTTCTTTCGTTGTTAATCCAAATAATCTTCTTCAGAAGTAGAAAACACTGTCTGCCTTGGTCCTAAGGAAACGTTTGTTCCCTTGTGTGGATTCTTTTTCGCACACTTAACTTTCCTTTCTAGAGTAGTTTGAGGTACCATGAATGTCCTCCTATCACCTCGTCGACATTGCAACTCCACACTGACGCTGAGTTTTACTGACATAGTTACGAATCATTGTCTAAAATGCAAATACAACATTAGGACTGTCGTGTTAACACTTTTACCCCAATTCTTAATAATTATAAAACTGAAATAGTTGAAAATATTACGTAATTTTCTTTCGGATGTTATTGAATTTTCGTGATATAATTACCAATTCCTAATTCACACAGCCAATTCTATGCTGTTTCCATTATTTTGTATTATTTTATAAACCCCCGACATAATACTGAGTACACTGATTGTAAATGACCACCAGATTAGATCAGCTGAGGTAAAATTCAAAGACATCGAAGTGTTGCTTACATTTGAGTATTTTCACAAGCGTAAGTTTCTTCTCAGACAAGGAAAGGAAGTAGGTGATTAGTTCCAAGCACTACCAATTGAAGGCAGCACTTACTGTCTGAAATATAGGGGGTCTTACGAGTACGCCACTCTCCCCTACTGTGAATCGGTGAAATTCCATCGCATGGAGATGTGAGGCTTTGAATCGGCGCGCGTATTTACGAAGTTGGAGTTAGGAAGGACTTCCTGCAATTGTTACAGGTTCAGATTTAGCGGACACTTCATTAGAATTCCTTGAGAGATGACTTACAGGCGAGAGGACGAGGTACGATCGGAAAGTTTCCAGACTGCGCCTATAAAAACCCGTACACTTATCTCAGGTATTAAATTCATCCATCACCCTCGAAGTAGTTCCCCTGGGAGTGAACACAACGATCACAGCGCCGCAGCCAAGCCTGGAAGCATCCCTGGAAATCTTTCTTTGTCAGCCTATCAAGCACCATCTGCGATTCTGCCTGAATCTCTTCTATCGTCTCAAATCTCCTTCCCTTTAGCTGAATTGTCATCTTTGGGAAGAGGAAGAAG